TAACTAAGTATTCTGTTAGTTATCAATGATTATCCTAATTATATTTTAAATTGTTTATATTTAAAATGAGATGTTTATCCAATATTTGATTATGTTTATTTACAGTTAGTTAGACGAATTCAAATATGGAGCTTTAATAAGTTGTACGTATGCACAATTTACTTGTAATCATAAAATTTTAAGTAATATGCATTAATAAACAGTATTTCGTGCATAAAATATCGTTTTTAAGAGTTTTTGTCAAATGCTTTATAATATAGTATAGATAATTTAGGTTTAGTAACAACAAATTTTAATTTAGGTTTAATAATATAATTTTTTATAAAAATAATAACTAAGTATTATTTTCGTTATCAATGATTATCCTAATTATATTTTAGATTTTTTTATATTTAAAATAAGATGTTTATCCAATATTTGATTATGTTTATCTGCAGTTAGTTAGACTAATTCAAATATGGAGCTTTAATAAGTTGTACTTATGCAYAATTTACTTGTAATCTTAAATTTTAAGTAATATACATCAATAAACAGTACTTCGTGCATAAAAACTCGTTTTTAAGAGTTTTTGTCAAATGTTTTATAATATAGTATATATATATATATATATATAATATATATATATATATATATATATATACATAATCAAATGACAAACTGTTTTGTTTCAGGTAATCATGAGATCCAATCTCAACCACAAATCAAATGTTAAATTAAAAATTAATAATTTTGGTAATTTTAACTTAAAATATTAATTAAGGGTATTTTAGGAATTTTATAAATATTCTCTCTCATCTCTCTTCTTTCCTCTCTCCGGGTAATCTTATTCGACGAACATTATTTCGATGAACCTTATATGAACACAAGATACACACTGTGATACCTATAAACGATATTCACTGTGATACCCAAATATACATACAAAATGCACAACGTGATACCTTTTGTAAATCAATGAAAATAACGAAAATGCACATTATGATACATTTCATAAAACAAATAAAATACATTGTGATACACGTAAAACAGTATGAACGTTATCACTATGATCATTTTGATCCACAAACGTCTTTAAAATACGATTTAGATTAGGTAATTGATATACTAGTTAACTAATTTTAATTAAATTTTTTAGAAACTAATTTTAATTAAATATTCCTTCTAAAAAATTTAATTAAATATTTTGATTAGTTGTCAAAAATAAAATTATTATATTACTCTTTTAGCATATTTAAGAAATAACCTTAAATATCTCAAATGAATGGTTCATATTTGATCTCCTGATTAACACAAACTAATCAGTTCTTTCTTGAATGATCCCCTATATATATATATATATATATATATATATATATATATATATATATAGGGCCAGATTCAAATGTTAACCAAAGTTTTTGTGTAACTTTGTTAACCGATCTTGACCATTCAATCTTTCAATAAATGGTTGTGATTAATCATGATAAAAACATATTTTTTTAAATTTAAAATTTCATAAAGATAAGTGAACAAAATTGAAAAAGGTATTTAGGTAAAAAAAAATATAACTCCCATATCATTAATTGGGAGTTACAAAATCAAAAAATTCTATGATTTTTGTTAATTTATTTTTATTAATGTAAGAACTATATGAACACAACTATATATATATATATATATATATATATGAACCATTGTGTCAAATACGAACAAAAAATTGACATATATACTAACTTAGACTGCATAGTATTTATGAACACAATATGAACATAATAATAATAACTGTATACGAAAGGAAATAAATAAAAAAACAGGTATGAACACAATGAACAACTTGTGAATAATAGTTCATTCATTATAAACACATTCAGGAGCGATCTTTTGTCAATTGGAGTTTTATACATGCATTGCATCMATACCGTTTAAGGTTCACCCCTTGTTCATATATGTTTCTAGTCTTATGTGGTTGTTTACCCCTTGTTCATATATGTTTCTAGTCTTATGTGGTTGTTTACCCCTTGTTCATATCGTGTTCACCCATTGTTCATATCGTATAAAATATATGAGCACATAACCCTGACGCTATGAACACCGGGTGCAAACACTTACACAAATATAAAGATTTGGTATCAAGCTTAAAAAATAACACTTGTGTTCATATGATAGAAGTAATATGAACACAAGGATTCATGATTCATAAAAATCAGTAATATCACAATATGAAAATGGGTTGTGCATGTACTTCCATTTGAACATGTGAATTAGGTACGTATTAATAATTAAAGAAAAAAGTTATCAACGCAATATGAACTACAAAAAACACAACACATCATAATGAACATAATTTCGATTAAAACGAGTCTAATAAAATATTAATCCATTACCAAGACATTCGCTTTGGTTGATTTCTTCACTTCCCGAACAGGAACTCCGATTGTCACCATAAACCATTTTAATCTTCTTAATGTTGTCGACTTTTTTTCCAATGCGTTTATCCATAGTAAGTTGAACGATACCAAAGATTTTACTACCGTGTTTCTCACACGAATCAAAAACTCATAAGACAATAAAAATGGAAGATCAAGAGTAAAAAATAAATAAAAATATTAATATTATAAATGTATATTTTTAGGGATTTTATTATTTTGTAACTCCCCTTTAATGGTATGAGAGTTACATAGCAAATGAAATTACTCAATTACCCTTGACAATAAATTGTGAACATGATAGAAACCTAATAGAAGAATGAATTGTGATTGGTTGATATGATTTGCATAGTTAACACAAAAACTTTGGTTGACATTTGATCTTGTCCCTATATATATATATATATATA